AAAATGGAAGAGATTTGGCAATTTTAAAAAAATTAAAAGGTTTTGTTCCTTTAAACAATAGACACATTAGAGAGATCCTTTTATCCAGACGACACTCATTACTCTTAAGTTTTAGGAGTTCTTCTACGCTGTTATATTTTAACCTTAGCGCCTTTCCAAAAAGGTTATTGAATTTTTTACTGTTAACATACAGTTTAGGTTTTAGTCTTTCATAAGAAGAATTGTGGCTAAAGCCACTATTCATGCTTCTTGTTTTGGCTACTTTTAGTGACCAAGACATATTCAGTAACTAGGCGGCTTTCCTAGATCTAGCTTGTATTCTTCTCAATACATCTGAAACCTGAACCATTTATGGAAGGAAGGGAGGGAGGAAGAAGAGAGGGAGCCTTAAGGCCTCCCAGTAGTTTTTTAGAACAATGCTAGTTGCAGTTTTGGGAATAACCAAGACACCAAAAAGATTCCAAAGCAATACTTCCCCCTTTTCTTCAGATGGTGGACTGCCTTATAAGGTATAAAACCGATCAGGGAGCACCTACCCTCCCGGCCTCATGATTCTTCTGTTGTAATTAAATATAATTGCATCAAAATAACACATTAGGACAGATTGGCAAGGAGCAGTAACTAAAATAATGAGAGTTTAATTGACACCAAGTTTTGTTTAATTATTGCATATTTTCTTTCTTTTTCTAGATGTAGTGCTTTATATATAGTTCAATACTTAATTTCCTTTTATTTTCTATGCCTGCATTGCTCTGGTCTGTCCAGACCATTTTGTAGTCTCTTTACCACTGCTTCATTTGTCGTGTTGTCAGCAAATTCTGATTATGGTTGAAATTTTATCTGTCAGAAGGAGAGATTTGTTTGACTGATTTTTGCTCCTGCACAGCAATCCAAACTGCAAAGGCTTATGAACAATAAAACAAAGCACAGTTTGAAGACTGAGTACACAACTGAAAATTTCTAAGATGGTAGCTGCCTCTTGTTTCATTTGTACATGCTTCACCTTGGGTGGAACTAATTCAAAAGACCTCCCAAAAATGCTCTGCAGGCAAATAGTTGAAAATCTGGAGTTTGATAATCACAGAAACCTGCACACTTTATGTTCATTAGAGTAAATAAATGTTTGAATGATAAAAACTTGTGTTGAGTCTAATTTAGTACAGGATTGTGTTCTGTCTTTCTGAAACTGTCCAGGTGGTACAAGGTAGCCTTTCAGTTCCTGAAAGAAACTAGAGTCTATAGGGGTCCAGTACTTTAACCATAGAGGTAAATGAGTAAAGGTAAGGAATTACTGGACCCATCATACTATCTCCCAACATGATAATCACTAGATCTGAACTGGTAAAGAGTGTAGTAACCTTCTATTTGTCCACACCAGTAATAAGTCACAGTGCTTTTCCCCATGGAAAGAAACCAAGGAGTGTACTGTGACTGCCAGAGTCAGAATTTACTTCCTCATGCTGCCATTGGATGAAGTGGCAGTTTGATGCCACCCCTTAGGATTATAGGAAAGTAGGGCTGGAAGAGACCTCACTTGTTCATCTAGTCCAGCCCCCCGCCCCTGACTAAACCATCTCAGCCAAGTGTCTGTCTAGCCTGCTCTGAAGAGCTTCCAAGGATGGAGATTCCACAGTTTCTATAGGTATCCTGTTCCAATGCTTGACTTTCATAGTAAGAAAGCTCCTCCTAACTTCCAACCTAGATTTCCCCTGCTGGAGCTTGAGGCCTTTGGTCCTAGTCCTATTCTCCCTGGACAGCAATGTTACAGCCTAAGCTATATCCATTAAAGGGAACCAATATGACAGTTTGTTATCTTCCATAGTTTATTTGTTTGCTGACCTACATACTGAAACATCAGTCCCAGGAAGGGCATGTTATTTAGCTTTTAAGAATCATTGTGAACCGAGACGATGAGAGCACAAGAGGAGAAAATTTCATCACTCTTATCAGATGGTAGACTGTCCATTTGGCATTCTGCCTGGAAACTTGCAAACTCAATTAAATGCACATATGGTCCATAGCAGGCAGAATTAGTCTTTGCCAACATACATTCCTCTTATGGCACTTCCAAACTGCACCCGTACTATATAGCTTTCTGCACAAATGATTTTTCTGCTTCTCCAATAGTCTCAGCTCAGCATATTGTCTTCTCTGCCCTGAAAGAATACAGGGAATATTGCCAAAATGAACATCAGTTTGAACTCCATGGGGGTGATTTTGCTGTTGAAGAGCTTTTGTTGAGGAAGACAGGTATGAAGATACCTAGTCTTAATGAGCAGTACTGGTAGAATTAATAAATCTTCTCAATATTCCCTGAAGCAGCTGCTTCCTTTATGAAATAATGAGCATATGGTTTCATCATATTTCATTGATTTGATCCCCTTCAGCTAAAGAAATATTTCAGTGGAATGCAAACAACTTACAGAATTTCTGCATATTTCTCGTCCTCTTTTATTTTTCCTAGCTAAACAGAAAGCTGACTAGCATGTAAAAGGGAGAGCCAGAGGCAGCATTCAGAGTCCTTAATAGGGGTTGTGGTGGGGGCAATGGGACCTCTGACAGTAATGAGGGCTTGCGTATTCCTTGAAGTTACAGTGCCCAAGGGTTCCCTTAAAGTTGTTAACTCTTGTGAAAGAATTGGGATGAAGAAGCTTGTTCAAGCTGGATAGAGTTGGCTACCTACTCATGTTACATACTCGGCTATCTTTTTATAGTTTCTCTGCAAGAGAATAGGAAGGCAGAGCTAGCATTAATTTTAAAATGGGCATATTCAGAATGCATAGAAATACTATGGCAGCAGGACTGTAAGTTAAATCTTTCATTCTGGAAAACAAGGCAGTTATACTCTCCCAGCAACCATAGTAACATGTCTTCCCAAAGTAGAAATGATCTAGGTTGGTTTTTTGGTGTTGTTTCTATTTTTATAAAGTACCTTTGAAAACTGTTTTCCTGAAACTGCTTCCAAAAAACACTGGACACATCTACATGTGCATGTATTAATGCACCATAATTACAACACATTAAGTTTAGTACCTGTAATAATGGGTACGAACTTAATGCGCCATAATCAGCACTACTGAGAAGTAGTTCTGGCGTGCATCTTTTAGGTGATGCTAATGCTCAGTAGCATTTCTCATTAGCTTTCACTGTGATGTGCTAATGTGCAGTAGAATTAGTCTACTGAGCCTTTAGCATCTCATGTAGACAATCTCACTATTAACTAAATGCATATAAGTGTTCATTTAGATGGGAAAAATTCTTTTACCTTCAGCAATACCATGTACAGTACATGGGTATGGTCTAACTGGAATGGAAACATTCATGAAAAAGGTGGTAGGGCAGATGAGGATGAGGATGAGGATCACGCATCCTTGAAGAAGTTGCCACTTCTATTGCTCATTGCACTCTTCCATACATTATGAAAATGTGCTTCATTATTTTGCAAAACACTTTATATTTTACAGCAAACAACAAATTGCTATTTTGTGTTCAACTGCAAACTCTTTTTCCTGGACTCATATCATTAAAGGGTATTTTAATTTCCTTTCTGCTGTCTCTATTTTTTTTCTGACCCCCTTTTAAAAAATAAAATCTGCTATTAAGAAGCCTAATTTAAAGACACATATATTTAAACAAAACCAGTCCATTTGTTTAATCACAAACCAGTGTGGAATTTCTTATTCACTGTGAATGGCAGTTTCAGCCGCATGCCACTTCCATCATTTAGAAAACAATCAAGAATGACTCACTTTTGTTCATGCAGGTAGAGCCATCTGGATCTACCTGAAACCAGAAGACAACCTGTGGAAGTATTTCTTCATATACAAAAGTTTGATATATCCTAGCAAGTGAAGTTGTTTCCTTAGCTTGTTTCTAGCAGAATGAGAAATTGTCTGTGTTTTGATGGATTGATACTAAGACCACCAAAAGGTTTTTTGTTTCACAGGTTCTGATACTCATGCTTGTTATGCATTGAACAGGGTTTTATAAAGAAATTGATAAAACTGTTATGTCACAACATCTAAATCCTTTGAAAATAATTTTTTTTGGTTTCAAATGTGTAAGAAATATTACATTTATTATCACTCTAAATATCAATATTCATTTCAGCCTTTCTGTGTTCCTCTAGAGGTTGCAGGAGAGTGATGTTTTCTCTCCATTTCTGACATTCAAATGGTAGAGAGACAGATGAATGCAGCACCTCTCTGCCTGTGTGACATAATCCATACATTATTAATTTTTGTTGTTGTTGTTCTAATGCTAGGAGACAGATGCCATTCTGAACTGAGCCACCGTTCTGATATGAGAAGAAGCAGTCCCTGAACTACCCAGTCAGCTAATTAATGCTGCATAATTTAATAAAGCATGGTAATTACTGAGTTTTCCCCATCTCATTCCCCTCTTGTTAATGATAACATTATCAAACCCAGAGAAGGTGCAGTGTATCTGTGTCTGTGTGTGTGTAGGTAGCTTATGGTAAGAGAATTAGTAATCAGATGAGCATAAAATGAGCAATATCAGGAAGAAGGAGCTATCCTTTCTTGCTGCTGAGCATCAGCTGTAAGGAAAAACTCTTCAAAATTGTGTTTTTAATTATTCAGAGCTAGTGCACAAAAGAGGGAAGTTTAGTGGGAGCAATATTGACAGGAATTGCCATAAAGAAAAGATGTTGATTCAGGAAAACAAACAAACCAAAAAGACCCAGTTACTAGTCCAATACTGTTTATTATTTGTTTTTTATTATAGCTTCTGCTAAGACGATAAGACTCAATGGTTCATGCTGAAAAATAGAGACAGGATCTCTCAAAGTATCTTTCTCCCTCCAACTTGTCAACGACGTATATGGGCAATAGATGACATCAATTGTAGCAGGATCAGTCTCAGCAGTAGAAATATTTCCTTTAGGCATTTTTCAGAAGTCTCACCATATGGTGCAATTTTTTCCTTGTTCAAAGAAATGTACCAAAAGGGGCTGTAAGCAGCAGTAAAATAATGAGAGCTTGTGAAGTCCAACCTGGCAAACAAGCTCCCTTTTAAATAAATAGAGTGTCACCATGGTGCCCTAAAGTATTCAAATCACCCTGGCAAAAATTAACTGGTTATTTAATACGGTGAGAAAGTAATTGGGGGAAAATTCTACATTTTTAGTCTGTCTCCTCTGCTTTCCTTGATCATCCCTTGCTCAGACACTTTGCTTACCAGATTTCAACGTCAAAATTTGTTTAAAAGAAATGCACTTGAAATTGATAATGACAACAATATACTTACTTGTCCTATTGTTCACAAAGTCCAATAACTTTGTAACAAGAACATTTGAAGTTTAAGGAATAAAAATATACCATTCACTTGATAAGATACATTTGTTAGCAAATACAAATTTCTTTGTGCTATGGGAAACTTAATGCCATGGGTAAACCCCATGAATTGTTGTGGGTTTTATGTACTGATTTTCATTTGATTTAGTATTTAAATGTTTAATTTTAAGGAATTTCTAGGTTTCACACTGCCATCAAATCCTCTTATCCTTTATTAGCATGAAGCCAGTGTATTTCATGGTGCAAAAGGAAGGTCAGCTGTGCCTGGGACAAGCTACCAGGTTTCTTAAAGTGGATCTTTTTTGGAAGTATTGTCTTCCTTATTAGTCTAATACCTCCCCTTTAGAATGTTACAAGGTGTCACAACCCAAAGTTGTGATTTGTTGTGTGTGTGCGCTTCGGCAACGCTAAATTATGTTCCCGCCAAATTGGAGCTCTTTTGCACGATGGAGTGTTCCGTTGTTATAGAGAACCTGCGTGCAGAAAAGTGTTTCCCACCATTCTGTAGCCTTCTTTGCACTGTGCATGACTTTTGCATTTAGTGATGCACGCTGCAAAGGAGTTTTCCTGCCATTTGTATTAAGATTTGAGCCACATTATTAGCCGGTCTTAATTTAGGCACACGTGGCGGCTAGCTATTGGCTTTGTTACCGGTCCAAAAGGGTCGGGGGGGT